ATCTTTAGGTTAAGAATAAGGTCTCTGCTGACTTCTAGGTTTTTCTTTTATACATAGTAACAGTTTAAAATTCAATTTGAAATGGAGCTAGTTTTTAATCATTACAGTATAATTTGCTTCTGTCTTTAACAAGAGGCAAAAAAATGTTTTAAAATATATTCTTTATGATATACATATGATAGAATAAGCAAATGCTTAATTTGCATACCTACTTTATACACAGAGTGGCATAAAAATTCCTCAGGTGGGGACTGGAAAATGGCTCAACAGTCAGGAGCACTGGCTGCTCTTCCAAGGAACTTAGGATCAACTCCCAGCACTCACATGGCAGCTCAGGATTGTGTATAACTCAAATCCCAGGGAATCTGACACCCTCACACCTAAACTAAACAAATTATTTTTAAAAAATTCTCAGGTGATGTTTGCAAGCAGAATAAGTTCTAGGAGCCCTGTTCTAAAGGTTCCTCATGTCTAAGCTCATAGCCTATCCAGAGCTGAGCCCTGGCCTAGGTATGAGCACATGAACTAATGAAAACCCTTCACCTTTAAATCTCCAAGCATGCAAGTAGTCAGGTCATCTAACTCAAGATGACTTAGGAGCCTTAGCTGAATTACAGGCCCATGTTGCCATAGCCAATGTATACAGTGCCAAGGATGGAACCCAGAGTCCCATGTATGCTTGGCAAGCACTCTACCAAGAGAGCTACAAGCTGTGCTCCTTGAATTTTCTCTGAAAAGAACTGGGTATAGAAGAGACAATTATTCACATGTCAGAATTTATACTAATCCCTGCCCTTCTCTTCAAAGATTGGAGCAGGCGCATCTTACACTGAATATTTTCCTCCAAATCTGCTTCCACCTGTTTCTGGGAGAGGGCTCTAGCTTCTCTGGGGTTGTGGACTATAGGCTGATTATAGTTTGCTTTATGTCTGGTATCCACTTATGAGTAATACTATATTTATCTTTCTGGATCTAGGTTACATCACTCAAGATGATTGTTTTTTTCTAGTTCTGTCCATTTGTTTGCCAATTTAAAGATGTCATTGTTTTTTACTGCTGAGTAGTACTCCATTATGTAAATGTATCATATTTTCTTTATCCATCCTTCGGTTGAGGGACATCTAGGTTGTTTCCAAGTTCTGACTATTACAAATAATGCTGCTATGGACACAGTTGAACAAATATTCTTGTGGTGTGAGTGTACCTCCTTTGGGTATATGCCCAAAAGTGGTATTTCAGGGTCTTGAGGCAGATTGATTCCTAGTTTTCTGAGACATTGCCGTACTTATTTCCATTGCAGCTGTACAAATTTGCACTCCCACAGGCAATGAAGTGTTCTTCTTACTTTATATTCTTTCCAATATAAGCTGTCATCAGTGTTTTTGATCTTAGTAATTTTTGATCAGTAATTTTTACTGATATTTTCTCCCTCCCTCCCATCTTTCTAACATTTGATTGACACACTGCTGCTTGTAGTTCTATGACAGCATCTAGCATTTTAGGGTTAGCCACAGGGTCACTCCACTTTGTTGTTTCCTGAGGTTGTCCACTTTTTTCAGGTAGCTGTTTCTTTTGTAAATGCAAGGCATTCTTTTCTCCTATGCTTTGCTATAAATTTTGTTTTCTTAGGCATATTTATGTAATTCCTTTGGAAGCTCTAAACTTCCCTTAGGCTTTTCAGATTTCCCCTCTTCTTCCATTGTATCATTTTGCCCTATCATGTATGAATGTATTTTCAAAGATCTTTTGCATAGAGATGGGGTCTTCCTGTGTCATACTCTATCTGTTGTTTTCTATGGGGCATAATAGTTTATTTAAGTCTTTAACTGTGTCTTCAATTTCTTCATTTTGGGGGGCTTGACTCTTTGTTTGTAGGTAGGCCAGTTAAAACCTTTAAGTGTGTGTGTGTGAGATGTGTGTGGGTACGAATGTGCCACAGTATGCAGTTGAAGGCCAGAGAACAACTTGCTGCAGTCAGTTCTCTGCTTCTACTAAGTGGGTTCCAGGGATGGAATTCAGTTTGTGAGGTTAGACAGCAAGCATCTTTACCTGCTGAGCTATCTTTCCTGCTCCAGACAGTATTTAGCACAGTCTGAGGCCTAGAGATCAGTGACTTCAATTCTTGAGCCATGTGGATGAAAGACGATTTCCAACTCTTCTCTCTTTTGTTCACAGTAACTGAGGTTTTCTGGATGCTTGTGGTTGATGATTAAATTTGATTAACAATACCCTGGCTTCTGTTCTGTTTACATTCATTTGATGTTTTTGTTTTGTTTTGTTTTGTTTTGTTTTGTTTTTTGGTGAATTTGTTTTCACCTACTAGCTCTTCCTTCTACACTGAGAGTCTGAGCAACACACCTCAAAGGTCAGCTTCTGACTCATGTCTTAAAGTTGTCTGTCATGCCAGGTGGTGGTGGTGCACACCTTTAATCCCAGCACTAGAAAGCAGAGGCAGGTGGATCTCTAGACTCAAAGTGAAACTGGTCTACATAGTGAGTTCCAGGACAGCTTGGGATATGCAAAGAAACTCTTTCTTGAAAAAACAAGGCAAACAGGCAAGCAAGCAAGCAAACAAACAAACAAACTTCATCTGTCAATGTTGTGACCAAACTGACATTACAATCCATGTCATCCACCTGTAAAGCTACTGCATAATTGGTATCACAATGCTGTGGGATATTTTGACTGTACTCTGACACTCCCAAATCTGCCAATAAATTTTACTTTGAACCAGAGGGCAGAGCTGGCTACTAGCGGACCAAAATTAGCCATAGAGATTTTGGAGGACTGAGGACATATAGAGAGAAACAGGAAGTAGTAGAGAGGGCTTTAGAAAGATTCTTGGCCTTTTTGGATTGAGGAATAAGAGAGAGAGGCGGTCACTGGTCACTTCTCTGCCATTTCTCAGATCAGTTTCTTACCCCATATCTGACCTGACTCTGAGTTTTGTTTTGTTTCTTCTCCTTCTTCTTCTCCTCCTCTTCTTCTTTTTGGATAAAGAATAAACACTTCACCACAACTAAATGAAGGCTGTATAGTGGTCCATGATATGATGACAGCATCTGTTCCTTGTTGTTTTACAACAGGCTGACCTGGAATTTGTGATCCTCCTGTCTCAACCTCCTGAGTAGCTGAGATTTCAGGCCTGCATCACCACAGTTTAGTTTCATGGTAAAATCTGAATGTAGTGACTCAATGGCTGACTCAAATTTTGGAAATTATCTAGAAGCCCCATCTGTCTTGCTTTAATATGTCCTGTTGGGTGGGGTGGCACAAGCCTGTAATCCTAGCATTCGGCATGTAGAGGCAGTAGGATCAAGAATTTAAGGCCATCATCAGCTGCATGAGACTCCTTCTCAAAAAACAAAGTCTCGTTTTAATTCTCTCTGTTGTTATTAATGTTAATGACTTGCAGTTTCCTGCCTGACCCAAGGCTCCACGCTTGAGTCGTGACTGCTACAGGTTTTTAAGTTTCTTGTTCTTTGATCTCAAGATGTCCCCTGTATTACAGTTACTTTGCCCTCCGTTGTGAGCAAATGATGGACAAGATGCAATGTAAGGGAGGAAGGGTTTAGCCTGGCTTCCAGTTGGAGGGATGTCCACCATAATGAGAAAGGCATCCTGCTTGTAGGCTATGTGCCCCCACAGACAGAAAGCAGAAGGCGATGAACGCTCCTGGTTCAGCTAGCTGTCTCCTTTTTATACAGTCTGGGGTCACAGATCATGCAGTAGTGTGGCCCACATTTAGAGTGGGTCTTCCCAACTCAATTAACCTAATGTAGATATTTCTTTACAGACATTCACGGATATTTGTTTCTAAGGTGACTCTAGATCCTGTCAAGCTGACACTTTAAACCATCACATAGCTTGTGAAGGAAGCCCTAGCCCACTGGATTCAGGGAATAGTGTCTACACAGTGTCAGTGCTGCCAAGTAAGGAGGACATGGCTGCAGGTCATAAAACTTACCTGGTTCAGTTGGAGCAATGTGAAATGACTGAGCCTGTGGGGCTAGGAATCAGAACCCTCTGGTCATTTAAGACAGCAGGGGATTCAGACCCATCAGTGCAGGGGCTAGTGAGGACCAGTTTCCTTTGGCTGTGGGCCTATGTGTATACACTATAGGTGGCCTTCAGCTGATTGATCCAGTCTTTTAGCTTTTCCCATGGGCCAGCGAGCAGCTCTTGAAAAGAGTCGCTGGCCTCCACGACAATCTCTCTCCTGACACTTTGCCCTTTGGGCAGGACAGAGGGCAAGGTGCTTGATCTGGCTCAGCTCGTTAGGATATACCCTGGTCTGACTCACCAGGTTCGGTCCACTCGGTTCAGCTAAACCTCACTTTAGGTTCTACTCGCCCTCCCTTGACTTGGCCTCACTAGACTAGGAACACCCTTTTCTATTCGGCTTGGCTTGGTCCAGCTTCTCTCTCTCTAGACTGGCTCGGCTCCCGGGTCCGGCTGGGCGAGGCACCATCCCTCTGTGTTCCACCCTGAGCGACTGAGCCCGGATCTACTAAGCTCACCGGCGTTCTAGCTGACCCCACTAGAGAAGGAATCCAGGTTGGGCTCAGCTCGGTGCTTCCAGCAGAGCTCTGATTAAGAACCGCCTGGGTCCAGGTGCCCCGCTGGGTTTGGCTCCGCCCTTCTTGGCTGAGCCAAGCTCGTCCATCCCCGATTGGCTCAACTCCACCCCCTCCGCTCGACGATTAGTTCGGCTCCACCCCAAGTTCGCCTGGCTTGGCTAAGTCTTGCTCCGCCAGACTTCTCTGGTTTCGGCCGGGTCCAGCTCAGCTCCATCTATCTTGTTTCTGCCCAGTTCGGCTCGGCTCCACCCACCTCCCCTGGGCCTCTCTGGTCCCCGCCCTGATTGGCTTAACTCCACCCATCGCAGTTCGTTCGCACCTGCTCGACTCCACCTCTCTGGTTTCGGCTTTGTTCGGCTCCGTTCGGCCCCACTCGGTTGGGCAGGAGGAGCAGGCGACGGCCCTGGAAGTGACGCGGCGAGGGCGGGCCCGACTTGTAGCCTCGGTCGCCGCCTCTCGGGCCGGGAAACGATGTAGGAACCGCCAGACAGTCCCCAGCTCTCCCCGGCCCGAGCCCCGCGGCCTGCCGCCGTCGCAGCCGCCGCCATGAAGAAGCAATTCAACCGCATGAAGCAGCTGGCCAACCAGACCGTCGGCAGGCGAGTGCGCGGGGCGCGCTGGCGGGGGGCGCGCGGGGGGGCGGGCCGGTCCTGCGCGCGAGGAGCCGAAGAACGGGGAGAGCCGGGCGCGGCCGGGCCTGGGCCAGCGGGGCGGGGGTCTGCGCCAAGCTGCGGCTTGGGCGCTGCCCATTGTCCTGCCCAAAGGAACATCGCCCACGAGAGACCCACGCGAGCCTTTACTCTTCCCTGTCCCCGCCATCCCGAGCTTGGCGCCTGCTGCAAAAACTCTGCAAACTTGTGTTCTTAATGCAGTGCCAGGCGCGCAGCTTTGGGGGCGGCGTTCTCAGGCTCTCCCCGCCGACCCGCTGCTGCAGCCTTCTTCCAGAAGGTGTTAGTTAGGCCAGTGAAGTTCAGTCTCCCAGTGAAGGAATCGAGCCGTGCAATCTCAAAATCCAGGCTGTTGGGAACTTGTTGCGAGTTCTTGACGTTTAGAAGTTTGTAAAGGGAAAAGGATGGCTTTTCTCACCTTGGATGCGGAATTTTGTGTTTCTTTGATACTGCATGAATGTTTGACAGGAAACATTGATTTTTTTTTTTTTTTTGAATGAAAGAATACAGGAGGTACTGTAGATAAGCAGGCTACAGAACAGAAGCGATTTGCGGTTTTTAGAGCTTCTGGAGGCTGTTGTCTTGTGCTGTGCTATCTGTAACAAATATTTCAAGGTCTTGCTGGGCAGATAGCTGTGCTGAACCACTTTGCTGTTTATTCTGGACGGAGATAGATGAATTTTTCACAGCTCTCACGCTTTCCCTCCTCCCCTGACAGTTAAGGGGAGTTTGGTTTGGTTGAATCACGTGAGACACTTCTTTTTTTTATGTGTAGGAAAATACTTTTACTTCCTCTTGAGTTTTCTAAATTTGCTTTTTAGAATGTTTCGTTTCCCTCAGCTTTTTGCTAGGTTTTGTTACTGAGTTTCAAAAAACGATCCCAGTCATATAATTTTGGTATGCATTATTTTTTATCCAGAATCAGTCCCTGTCCCTTAAACCCAGACATGCCTACTTTTCTGTTGCTTGTAGAATTAAAGAAAGAGGAAGATCAAGACAAATAATCCTAATGGCTCAAACAAAAAACATTATGAGAAATAATTTCTTCTGAGTTTTGTACCTCTTTCTCAGCCATATGCATGGCAGAATCAAAACTTAGTGAATACCAAGATATATTTGTTAGATTGCTATTTATTTGCTTATTGGGCTTTGTATTTTGTGGGACAAGGGATAATTGCTGTTTTATGCAAAGTTCTGAGAGCTTTCTATCTTGAAAGCCCTTTGGGGTTCTGTGGGCTCCTGTTTCCCCTTAGCTTCCCTTCCTACTTTTACATTCCAGCCATACCTACCCACTTTCAGTTTCCACAGGAGGCCTGTGTTTCTTCTGCATTATTCTCTTTCTGGACATCCCAGAAGCCTTTTTCACCACACTTAGCTGATAAATGCCCTCTTTCTCATTCTTCAGGTCTCTCAGTGATAGGCTCTGTGCCCTATGAAGATCCTTGATGCCGGACATGGGACATAATTCCATATACTACCTGCTTTCTATCATCAGACTGCCTCTTTACTTGCTTGTATTGACTGCTTGAGTACCCAGAGGGTCTTTCCTATGTGTCTTTGGTTCCCTGTGACTCCTATTCCATGACAGATGGCCTGTTGAAATTGTTAACTTAAGGAGTTACTCTTACTACATTGCCTGGTGCTGTGGGATTAAGTATGGGAAAATGTGAACAGGATAGAGTGGTGGTGATTCATACTGGGACAGTAATTCTGGCCCTGACCTTTGACTGTTTGAAAATCTTTATTGCTAGATGCCAGTGGAAGCTGCAGCTATTGCAGAGCTCTAAGGGTGTGGCAGCTATGAGACTCAAGTCAGAACATCTGTTTTTACTGGAGAGAAACCTGTTGCTCTCTTGCTGTTGATTTCCTAGATCTTTCTGTCTGTCTCTGTCTATCTCTCTCTCTCTCTCTCTCTCTCTCTCTCTGTGTGTGTGTGTGTGTGTGTGTGTGTGTGTGTGTGTGTGTGTGTGTGTTCCTATTTAAGAAACCTAAGGGGTAGAAAGAAAAATGGAGGACAGACCTGAGAATTATTGTTGAATGGAGCCAGATGGTTGATAGGCATCAGAAGCAGATATGGGTGTATTTAGGTAAAGATCAATGCTTTTCTAGCACAGATTTTTCCAAGCTGTGATCTGAATAGGGAAGGAATTTATATATGTGAATGCCCACTGTTTATCAGTGTGTAGAGTTCTAGATGGTACCTTGTAGTGAGATATTCCTGTAGGGTGGAATGCTTGTGAGTAACTCCACCATGAAGTTTCATAGCACCAGCAAGTGGAGGATTGGTAATGCCCAGAAAGAATGAGCTGTCATGATGTAGTTTGTGTACAGAGGATGGATGAGTCTATTGGTGTGGGCAAGGCTTACAAGGTGGCCTTACGATGTAGGTGCCCTAAAGAGGGTAGTTTTTGCCCACCTGCTCTTTGGTGAATCAGGTATTCAGTGAACACTGAAACCATACTGCACACCACTGTGTGTTATTAAAGAATCAGATAAACACAAGATTTCTGCCCTGGAGCTGCTCAGTAGATATGTGGAGGAGATAGGCAAGCCTCAAATAATTGTAAACATGAGATAAGTACTTTCGGGAGGATGGCAAGTACACAGAGGAGAACCTGTCTGCCACTGGATGGAGGAGGTCACAAAAGCTCCTGACAGGAGATACGAGCAGAGTCTTCAAGTACTTCTTTCAGATTTTCTTGGCAGGATTAGGTCTCTTCTGGTGATGAGAAAACACAATTCAAGGTGCCTGAGCGGAAGGGAATTCATTGACTTTTGAGCAGGAGTCCAGACATAGCATAGCTATTGTTGAGACAAACCACTATATAGCCCAGAATTCCCAGGCCTACTGCCCTAGCCATCCTGGTGCTGGATTTGGGGGCATCCAGGAGGGTTTACTCTTTTGACAGGCTGAGTTCACAGACTTCCATTATCCCCAGGGCAAGTCTCAGAGGAAAAGACTGCTTTGTGACTGTGGCCAGAGTCCCGGGGTTGGCTGTGTTTCTGGGTCACATGCCTTTCCTGGGAAAAGGAATGGACTCAACCCCACCCAAGCAGAGAGTGTAGGAGTGCTGTTTCCCCCAAGGTAAACTGGGGTGCTGTTACCAGCAGAAGGAGAATGGGCAGACACTGATTAGGCAAGCAAGAAAAACCCCATAGGGCTTTTTCAGTTTTGCTGTGGCAACGGAGAGGCATTCTCTTGGGAAAACGCTTAGCTTCAGACAATCTAGTGGAGGGAGAATGTTGTCTGGAGTCAAGGAAGCTGTACAGGAGAATCAGGAATATGAAGTTAGGAGATGCCTGTGTCAAGAGAGGAATTGGGGGAGGTGTAATGAGAGCACATCCCTGGCAGAGCCTGCCCCCATGGGAATTAGTCCTAGTGCTTTCATTCGATAAATCAAGGTTACTGTCTTGAGTGCCAGGGAACACCAGGGAAGGACTTTGGAGAACCTGAGGGCCATGTTCTACTAAGGGGGGGGGGTGTCTATGGGAATGTGGGTCCCAGCCTCTGGAGTTCTCAGGAAGATGCCTAAAATGTAAATTTTGTTGAACATTAGATGACATTTTACTGTAGTATTTTCATTACACTACACAAAATTTTTTGAGGCCAGATGTTGGCTCTGTGTTGGCAGCTATTTATCTCAGAGGACCTGGAAGTTACCACTTCCTGGTTCCTTCTTTACCTGATATCTTGGCATCGTTGGTTCTCTGGCTCTGTTGGAGAACTCCTTTCATTTGCTGATGTCTTTAGTAGGGTCACAGTAAATTCACCTTTCTACAGTGTGGCTAACCAAGGACCGTGTCTCACCACCTGGCCTGGTTCTCACCCATGGCACCTACCATTTATATTTTATGAAGGAGGACAAATGACTCGCCAGTTTGGCACAGCTACTAAGTGATCCACCCACCCAGCACATGGTGTGGGCCTTCTGCCTCTGCAGCCCATGTACTTCTGACCACAGAACTCAGGGTGCCCTTTCACCAGGAAAGGTGTCATGTTTATGAACAAACATCTTAAACATCTTCCATGACCACTAAGCCAATGCACTTCTCATAAGGAACTTCACCGCATTCTCTCAGAAGCTCTAGAGTGATGTTGTTTATTCCTGAAGGAAGCCAGAGATCAGAGGGGCATGGTGGAGTTGTGGATCCAAATCAGACCTCTGATGTTGAAGCAGACATACATGGTGCTTCATTCATCTTCAGAGCTGCCTCCATCAAATCTTGGAAGCTGTGAGTAGGATGTAGCTGTAATTCAGTGGCTGTCACTCAGCTTGAGGCTGTGTTTCCTCAGGGGACACTGGGCCATGTCTAGAGGCTTTTAGAGGCTTTGCTGAGGGCAAGTGCTCTACCACTGAGCCATATTTCAGCCTTCTTGATGGTCATGACTTGGGTAGGTGGGGCCGGTGTTGCTGCTGGCTGTCTTTTCCTGGCATCTGGTAGGTTGAGACATGAGTCCTCATGAACGGTGTCAACAACAAGGAATTGTGCAGTGCCAGCTGCATTAGTGCTGAGGTTTAGAAAACTGACTTAGTCCTCTTTAGTGTTCTGGCTGTATGAATGGTTGCAGCCAAAGATGTAGACTATCGGCTTGCTGGTATTAGATATACTCTGTTTGCTTTATTCAGTGCTTATTCATTTACTATTAACTTTAAAAATTAGTACTTTTCATCTGAAAAATATGTATCTCGTGCTTCTTCTAGAAGAATCTTGGCAATTCTGTCAGTATTAAATATCACTGTCTAGTACAGGACCTGGAGCAAGCCACAGCTTTCACATTGGGGTGGGCATCAGCTCCCTGTCTGCATAGCCCATAGCTGGTGGGCTTTACCTGATTATAGTCCTTGCTGATCTCTTCCTGATCATTGAGATCTAAGGACTTCTCTAAGAGTAGCTATCAATTACAGCAGCAGGAATTCACTTTAGCCAAA